GTTCTTGACACGGCGTAGTTTCTCGTACAGAAACACGTTTGTCATGTATGAAGCGTACCAAGGAGAAGCCGATTTGCATACAAAGAGGTTCGCAGACTTTCTTTCGCGCCGGACTCGAAGAGCGACGAGCGCAAACGCTTCCGCTTCACGCAACTTGTTCGCTTGTTTGTTTATTTATTTAGTTTTTTTTGTGAACATAGGTACAGTTTAGCAGGGGCCAAGATAAAACCTTATAAGCTCATATATATATTTAGAAAAGCTCATATATGTAGCCCCAGGTCTCTTTCACCCTGCGGTGATGGACAGTAGTAAATGGATCTTCGTAATTAAAGTTGTTCCCTAGCCTTGCACTTTACCCGTAAGTTCATATTGTTGTGCAAATGAAAATTGTATCCATTTCACTATTAGCAATATTATTATTGCATGCGGCAGCAATTGGCAGAAATCGCACTGGTGACGCCGTTAGGTATTAGGTATATATTGTGTCAAACAATTACACACCAGCTACAAACACAGCCAGTCCTAAACTTGAACGACTCTTGAGCTTCGCTTTAGGAGTAGACCGCGATAGTGCAACTGGGCCCTGTGCGAATCCCCTTCTGTTAGGTACGGCGCTTGGGCAGAAAAGGGGAGTGAAATTCCGTGTGCTGCGAACGAGACGCTAAGAGGCTTCTTGCCTGCAGCAGAAAACCCTTCCAGCCCGGGCATAGTCAGTCCGCCATGTATCGTCCAAGCGAGTTATTGTGCCGCCACGACGGCGTAGGCCGTTTCACGGGAGGATGACAAGTGTTTACGTGGTGTTGACATCTTTTTTGGAAGGGTTAGCCGCGGCAGCCTCGAATGCAGTGCCACGGACGCTTTTGAGCGTTGTTGCGGAGGCCCTTTTGATATATGCTGCCGTGAGCTGGAGACCACTCGCACAGCGGCAAAGACATGACGAGTAAGAGTCACGTTGATGAAACATGGCAGTGCAGTGACATCGCCTCAATATTGGATGTTCACGTGGGCTGTGCATGCACGCAATCCTCGCTGGTTGTGTGTTATCTGTGATTGGACAGTGTAATTTGGTGCCCTCTCTCCCATTCAGAGATCTAAGTAAACGGGACAGTTTAAAAGCAGGCCTCAAGGGCTGCTTGGTGTGCCTTTTTGCTTGTAATACTTTTTCGAGGCTGTGCTTTTTGATGTTGATGCCTTCTAAATGTAGAGCTTTCGACGAGGTCGTCACGATATAGGATGACATCTTCATCTAGATGTTCATCATGTGGCGATCAATTGCTCGCTTGGAAATAATATAAATTAAAATTCTGTAAACAGCTCCCGAAAAGTGCACCTCCCTCCCTGGAAGATGGGCTAAATGGGTATGGTGACGGCGGCCAGCTACCCACATCGAGACCCTCTGGACACGAGCCGCAACGACTGGCAGCAGATATGGGATGCCCTCAAGCCCTGTCCTAACACTTCTCAATTAATAGCCTTGCTTTGGTCTAGGTGTATGCCTCAACCAAGCCGTGAGAGAACAAATGACTGCGCGTAAAGCGCTGGGATTTTCAAGTTATTGCAGAGTGTCTATTGAAATGTTTGTTCTACAACTTTGTAGGGACCAAGATAGCGTGAATCAAGCTTTTCGCATAAGTCAGGCGTTGGTGCAGGAGTCAACAGAAGTACATTGTCGCAAGGGCGGTAGCAAACAACGCGATTAGTAGCATCGTAACGATGTTTGCGATCTACTTGGCTAGCTTCGGTATTTACACAAGCAAGACGACGGCATCGAGCAACACGGGACAGAAAGTGGTCGCAAACGAATGGTGAAGAGTTTACGGGGCCAGAAAAGAATAAAACGTCGAGTGGTGATGTCAGTTGGCGTCCGTATACTAGGAAAAATGGAGAATAGCCCGTGGTTCGTTGATCTGACATATTATATGCATACGTGACAAAGGGAAGAATGGGATACCAATTGCGATAGTCCGGTCTGATATACATGGACAGCATGTCGCACAGCGTGCGATGAAATCTTACTGTTAAGCCATTGGTTTTTGGGTGGTAGCTAGATGTTTTATGAACAGTTTTTGATGCTTGAAGAACCTCACTGAGCACGCTTGAAAGAAATTCCATGCCCCGGTCTTTCAAAACAACACGAGGGGCTCCGTGACGTAGATAAATAGCATTCATAAAGAAAGTTGCTACTCCGGAAGCAGTTCCTGAGGTGATCGAGGTCGTCTCAACGTAAAGGGTCAAGTGATCAACCGTGGCAACGATCCATCTCTTGCCCTTTGATGTAGTTAGAAGGGGCCCAAAGAGGTCAATTTCGACGACAGAGAACGGCTCTTTTGGGCAAGGAAGTGGTTGTAGGGCCCCGACTGGAGCTGGAGGGGGCCGCTTGCAGAGCTGGCAAAGTGCGCACAAGGCAATATACTTAGGTACCGTCGTGGAAAGACCTGGCCAGAAAAATCGACTGCGGATTCGCTCGTAGGTTTTGTAGTAAACCGAGTGGCCGGACGTCGGCCGTCATGTGATGCGCGCACAACTTCAGTGCGTAGTGTGCGTGGTACGAAGGGAGCTCATCAATGGCCTTCAGAGTGGAAAATATATTGATGAAGCACATCGTCCTCCAACTTGAATAGCCCGAACTGTTTCCGGAGCCTGGCATTTGGGGAAGATGAGGCACCGGTAAGCGCTGACCGATGAGGTCAGTGCAGTCAGAATCGGCTCACTGGTAAGTGGTAAGTACTCACGGACGGGTGGATGAAGGTAGGGAAGAAATGAATGGTATCGACGAGGTGTCCTCCGCATAGCCAATTTGACAAGAGGATGTGACGTGTGCCGAAGACCGTGGCAAAGGGCATCGTGAGAAAGCGTCGTCATCTTGGTGTTGTCTTCCGGTCTTCTAGGTCACGTCAAAGTCATACTGCCACGTTCTTGTTCTCAAGTTTTGTTATCACCCCAATACACTACGTAATATTCAGCGAAAACCGCGCCAGCAGTCTTCGAGAAGCTTCAGGACTGTAGTAGATCATTTCGATAAGATCACGCTCACTCGCGAACTGTAGAGATTATTCTGGAGCCTACGTCAATGTTAGCGATAACGCTAGAACATTTGATGGCAAGTGTATAAATGCCGATGCGCTTCGCCGCTTGTCAGTTGATCGACCACTGATGATCCGTTCGCGGCTATCAGTGGGGGTCTGCTACTGTGATCCGACTTTCCGTTTACCGGGCACAAGTTCACCCAAATAAACAGTTTAACCATAATCCTATTTTCAGTTTTTTTGTCAACGTCATGACCCTGTGTCATCTGGTGGAGGTGCTGCTTCTATGATGTTCCGGACGCCCCCTTCAGGCCGCGACGCCAGCTCAAGCGGCAAAGAAAACACCGACGCCTACCCTGAACAGCGCACAAGCCGCAGGCAGAGGGGACTACAACCAGAGTATGGACCCCTTCCTGAAGCAGCCAGGCATACTCGGATCCCGACATTAACTACAGCAACGATGACCGCCCCCATGCAGCCTGCCCCAGTCATTATGCGGCAGCCCAAGGAACCCCCAAAGTTCCATGGATTGTCAGGTGAGGACCAGGAAAGTTGGATCAAAATATACGACCGAGTCGTCTCCTTGAACAGCTGGGACTCCGAGAAAAAATTACGCTACGTCTATTTCTACTTAGAAGACGCCGCGAAGACGTGGTTTGAAAACCACGAATCCACACTACGAACCTGGGAACTCTTTCAGACGACGTTCCTGCGCATGTTCACAAACGTCGTCCTCAAGGAAAGGGCTGCCACATTGCTGGAGACAAGGGTGCAACTTCCTAATCAAAGCGTAACCCTCTTCGTCGAAGAGATGACCCAGCTCTTTCGACACGCTGACTCCAACATGGCTGAGGAAAATAAGCCCCAGTTCCTCATGCGCGTAGTCAAGCAGGAGCTGTTTGCGGGACTTGTCCCGAATCCACCCAAGACTGTCAGTGAATTTCTCGCCGAGGTCACAACTATAGAAAAGGCGCTTGAGATGCGCTCAGCGCAATACAACCGACACGCCTCATTAAACTGCGCTGATGCCTTCAGTACCGATGACCTCCGCGAGACGATTGGAGCGATCGTACGGGAGGAGCTGCGGAAGTTGTTGCTTTCTACGCAGCCTCAAGCCAATTTCATCGCTGACATTGTGCGCGAAGAAGTTCGGCAGTCGCTTGGATTCACAGAAGCACCGCAGCATGAACCGGAAGCAATGAGCTACGCCACTGCAGTGTGCCGCAACGCCCCTCCACTTCTCGTCAGGACACAGCCCCGCCGCAGTTCTTCCGCCAGGCACCGCCGCCACCACCATCGACGCCATACTGCCCACCGGCCGGCCAGCGCTAGGCTTCAAAGAAGACTGACGTCTGGTGCACCCCTGACCACCGCCCACTCTGTTACCACTGCGGCGAGGCCTGGCACATCGCCCTTGCTAGTACCGACAGATGGGACTGCGTTGCTTCGCCGTCAATGCACCATGTATGCAGCCAAAGGAACGGCCCAGTGACATCACCGACTACCTGACAGGAACTCAGTGGACACCACAAAGTTCTTCCCGGTCGCCGTCGCCTTTGCCGCCGCATGTCACCGCACCACCGGCAGTACTCTGGACCAACGCGGGGTCAGTCTCCTAGCCCGTACCCGGGAAACTAAGGGCAGCAACCGATGGAGGTGCGGTTGCTGTGCGACGAACTACCAAAGATCCGACGACGACGACGACGCCTCGACGGAGCTTCCCAAACACGAAGCCAACCCGGCAAAGTCTTGACGGCGACACCTCATTTACCAAAGGTGACCTGACGACGCAACATGGAAGCAGCGGAACAAGCCGACGCAGCCGTGACCTGACGCCGCGCCCTAACTGTAACGCGAGACAGCGAACTAGCGACCTAGACGTTCTTATCGACGGCTGCAGTGTGACCGCTAATGTCGATACTGGAGCCGACTGTTCCGTCATCAGTGGGCCGTTCACCACGAAGTTGAAGAAAGTTAGGACAGCTTGGGAAGGACTCGAAATCCGTACAGCAGGAGGTAATCTCGTAACGCCTGCAGGAATCTGCACAGCGAGAGTCACCATTAACAGCCGTACTTATCTTGCAGATTTTGTAGTCCTACAGCGTTGCTCGAGAAATGTCATCCAGCCATGGACTTCTTATGCCCCCTTGGTGCTGTCATCAACATAAGAACAAAGTCAATAACGTTATCCACAGAAGCACTACCGCTGCGCACGCCGTCGAGGAACCATGCCTTGAATGTGCTAGAAGAACAAGTCACCATTCCGTCACGCTCCAGCGTCAATATTTCAGTCGGCGCTACGAAATCACCCGACTTGGAAGGCGTCGTTGAAGGCAGTCATCTGCTGTTGGTCACCCACAATATTTGCATCGCAAGAGGAATTGCAGAGCTGCTGAGAGGCAAAGCAACGGTTATGCTCACGAATTTGAGCAATGAATACAAACACATGAACAAGGGGACGACGGTCGCATTCATCGAATAAATCGTGGAAGCCACCAGTGCATTCGCCCGTGCCGATTCTGCGGAACCTCCTCAGAGGAACCAAGCCCCTCCCTCAGCTTGCGACGTCAATTCCAGCCTTCCGAACCATAACCAAGAACAGCTCCGGACCCTGTTCTTGCAATACGAAGATTGCTTTTCGTCATCGTTTAAATTTCGGCAGACGCCAATCACGAAACATCGCATCGTAACCGAGGAAAATGGCAGAACACTCCATCAGGGTCCGTACAGGGTTTCGACGTGAGAACGCGAGGCCGTAAAGACACAAGTTGATGAAATGCTACGGAACGACACCATCCAGCCGTCCAAGAGTCCACGGGCGTCCCCCGTGGTGTTAGTGAAGAAAAAGGATAGAACCCTACGTTTACGAGTCGATTATCACCACCTGAACAAAACCACAAAAGAGGACGTGTATCCTCTCCCACGAATAGACGACGCGCTACATCAGCTCCAAAACGCCAAGTACTTTTTGTGAATGGATCTCAAGAATGGCTATTGGCAAATCGAAGTCGAGGAAAGAGATAGAGAGAAGACGGTGTTTATAACACCGGACGGCCTCTTCGAGTGATGCCCTTCGGTCTTCGCTCAGCGCCTGCAACTTTTCAACGCGTTATGGATACAGTACTTGCAGGATTGAAGTAGCAGACTTGCCTTGTGTACTTGGACGACGTCTTCGTGTTTTCTTCGAGTTTCGATGAGCATTTTCGGCGCCTTGAAGATGTACTTCAAGCCATCAAGACGTCCGGACTCACACTGAAGCCATAAAAGTGCAGATTTGCGTATGAGGAGCTCTTGTTCCTGGGGCACGTGATTAGCAAGTCTGGAGTTCGTCCCGATTCACGGAAAACAGCCGCCATCGCCGACTTCCTGCCGTCCACTGACAAGAAGGCGGTGTGCCGATTTCTGGGCCTGTGCGCCTATTATAGGCGCTTCGTGAAAAACTTCGCCCGCATCGGCGCCGTTCTTGTGCAGAGGGCTGACGGACTTGAGAGAGTTATTAGTTACGCCAGTCGATCGCTATTGAAAGCAGAAGCCAATTATTCCACAACCAAAAAGAAGTGCCTTGCCATCATCTGGGCTACGTCGAAATTTCGCCCATACCTCTACGGCAGGCCCTTCAAAGTTGTGAGCGACCACAACGTCTTGTGTTGGCTAGCTACCATGAAGGACGCTTCAGGTCACCTCGCATGATGGAGCTTGAGACTTCAAGAATATGACATTACCGTAGTTTACAAGTCCGGCAAGACACACTCCGACGCCGACTGTCTTTCTCATGCGCCTGTCGACCAACAACCACCCGACGACCCGGATGACGACTACTTCTTGGGAACGATAACTGCCGACGACTTTGCTGAACGACAGCGGGCCGACCCAGAACTTGAGGCCCTAATAGAATACTTCGAAGGCAGGACCGCCGAAGTCCCAATGGTCCAACGAAGGCGCGCACTTGCGTCGTTATTCCTACGAAATAATCTTCTCCAAAAGAAAAAAAAAGCACTTTTCACCGCTTCGAGCCAAGTACCTCCTTGTGGTGCCTTCAGTTCGGCGACCAGAACTCCTTAAGACCCTGCACGACTATCCAATGGCAGGGCACCTCGATGTTTCCCGCACGCTCGCGATGATACAGGAAAGGTACTACGGGCCACGTCTTACCACCGATGCAACTCGTTATGTGAGGAGATGCTGGGACTGTCAGCGACGCAAGACACCGCCGACAAAGCCAGCGGGACTTCTGCAGCCAATCGAACCACCTCGCCGACCACTCCAGCAGATTGGTATAAACCTACTAGGGCCGTTCCCGACGCCGGATTTCGGAAACAAGTGGATCGTGGTAGCTACCGACGACCTCACCCGCTACGCCGAGACAAAAGCCCTGCCCAAAGGCAGTGTATCCGAGGCAGCTAAGTTCTTCGTCGAAAATATCGTCCTATGTCACGGCACCCCGGAGGTCCTCATCATTGACAAAGGAACGCATTTACTGCTGACCTGACTCGAGCGATTTTGGCATACAGTCAGATAAACCACCACCGGACGACAGCGTACAACCCACAGACCGAAAGCCTCCCCGAGCGGCTAAACAAGACGATCGCCGTCATGCTGGCAACGTACGTCAATATCGAACACAACAAGTGGGACGCCACTCTTCCGTACGTGACCTTCGCATAGAAGACGGCGGTGGAGGAGACGACGCAGATATCTCCATACAAATCGGTCTACAGAAGGAGCCCAGCAACGACTCTCGATGCCATGTTACCCAACGTCACCGACGAAGAAAACCTTGATGTGAGTGAGTACTTTCAACGCGCAGAAGAAGCCCGATAACTCACGCGTCTCCGTATCAAGAATCAACAGATGACCGACGGCCGCCATTACATTGGTATTCCATGAAGCGACGACCGTCCATGGAATACCAGCCCAGTGAACGTGTTTGGGTGTGGACACCGATACGCCGACGTGGACTCAGTGAAAAGCTTCTGCGACGGTAATTCGGACCGTACAAGGTGGTTTGACGTTTCGGCCCGCTTGATTACGAGATTGTCCGCGACGGCATCATGAACTCTCAACGACGCCGATCGCGACCTGAAGTCGTCCATGTCGCGCGCCTCAAACCGTTTTATGCGCGTTAACAAACTGGAAGTGCTATTTTTATTATCGCTGTATCATAATTCATTCATTGTACTTCCTTGCATTATTGTTGTGCTTTCATCTTCTGTTAAAGCATCGCGACAATCCCTTTTTCAGAGGGGGGCATGCGACGTTCTTGTTCTCAAGACTTGTTATCCTCCAATACACTACGTATTTCTCAGCGCAAACTGTGCCTGCAGTCTTCGAGAAGCTTCAGGACTGTAGTAGATCGTTTCGATAAGATCACGCCCACTCCGTGAACTGTACAGATTATTCTGGACCCTACGTCAACGCTAGCGAGAACGCTAGAACATTCGACGGCAAGTGTATAAATGCTGACGCGCTTCGCTGCTTGTCAGTTGATCGACGACTGATGATCCGTTCACCGCTATCAGTGCAGGTATGCTACTGTGATCAGACTTTCCGTTTACTGGGCACAAGTTCGCCCAAATGAACAGGTTAACTTTCATCCTACTGTCAGTTTCTTTGTCGTCGTCATGATCCTGTGACAATTTAATTGTAACCGGAGAATCCAGCGGCCAAGTCACCCCGACAAGTTTTTGATTGTGGACAACGAGTAAAGAGCATAGTGGTCTGTCACAACAGTAAAATGTCGACCATGAAGATACCGGCGAAATTTTTGGATAGACCAGACAACAGCCAAGCACTCTTGTTCGGTTATCGAGTACCTCTTCTCTGCAGAGGTCCGAGTGCGGCTTGCATACGTGGCTTTCTCGCGAATGGCATGGTCGCACTCGAAGAGTACGGCACCGATTGCTTGTCCACTAGCGTCAGTGTGTAATAACGTAGGTGCCTCGTCATCGAAATAACAAAGCACCAGGGGGGATGTCACTGCGTGCTTGAGTTCTTGAAATGAGGCTTCGCATTGATCATTCCCATCGAAGGAACCGGTAGTAGCGAGGAGCTTGTGAAGAGAAGCGGCAATGGTGGCAAAGTTGCGAATGAAGCGGCGAAAGTATGATGCGAGTCCAAGGAAACTGCATAGTTCTTTGGAACGAAAGGGGCGCAAAAAATTGAGGACTGCAGAAATTTTGTCGGGATCGGGCTGGATGCCATCTTCACTAACGAGATGTCCCAGAATTTTTATGGCTGTGTTGTCGAAATGGCACTTCTTTGTGTTTACTTGAAGTACAGCACTGAAGAGACATTTGAGCACTTGATCTAGGCGTTGCAGATGATCAGCAAAAGTGGAAGAAAACACAACGATATCATCAAGGTAGCATATACCTGTTTTCCACTTGAGGTCACGAAGAACAGTGTAGATCATTCTTTCAAATGTGGCGAGAGCATTACATAGGCCGAATGGCATTACGTTAAACTTGTAAAGACTGTCCGGCTAGAAAAGGTGGTCTTTTTTTGACTACTTCGTTCATTGAAATTTGCGAATATTTGTACTGAAGGTCAACGGTGGAGAAGTATTGGGCGCCTTGCAATGAGTGAAGTGCATCATCTATATGGGGAATCGGATATACATCCTTTAGGTACTGTTGTTGAGTGCGCGGCAATCAACACAAAATAGTACTAATTCATCCTTATTTTGTACAAACGCAACGGGTGATGACCAAGAACTGGTAGAAGGTCGTACGATGTTCTTTTTAGCATATCGGTTGCGTTCTCCTCGATGATTTTGCGCTGGGCCAAGGTGACTAAGTAGGGACGACGGCGTACAACAGTCTGACTTTCAGTGTCGATATGATGATGCGCAACTGTGGTCTGTCCTAGCGCCGAAGCGTTGGCGTCAAAGAAGGCCTGGTATTTCGCTAGCAAATTTAGCATGGCCTCATGTTGAGAAGCAGAAAGGTCACTGTTTACTTGGGGCAGAAAGAAGGGGGAAGTAACAGACTGAACCTGTTCTGGCTGAGCTGGCAAGAGGTCAAGAGAGACCAAAGATACCGGTTGGGTATCCACATAACACGGCACTGCAGAACCTTGGTGTATGAGGACAGGCTCCGGGGTAAGGTTCAGGCCAAGGATTATTGCAGCACTGTCTTTGAACCACACCAGGCTAGAGGGGAGTACAACGCCGCGAGCTAAACAGTGACTGGCAGGGGTGATAAGGACGTCACCATTGGCTATATTCGGAGAAGTAATGGTGACGAGTTGCTACTAACCCGGAAGAAGTATGGAATCGGAAGTTATGAAAAACGCAATGGTTTCTCCTCGACACGTTCGCTGCAGTGATAGGTCTCGGTCATCTGGACTACACGTTGACGGCAAAAAATTAATGCAGATGTGGATGAGAGAAATTCCCAACCCAAAGTTAGTTCTTGAGCACAGTATAATTGTTCAGTACCAACTACGTGATTCAGCGAAGGGCCCTCTACGCATGCCTAAGGCAACACGCGAATGTATGTTTGAACACTCTGTAGTAGGTGGGCCTTTAAAACACGTACTCGATGCGCATTTCGTAAGTTTTGAAGCCTGGCGCAATTGTGCACTTCTACTACCTAATAGCACGTGCGGTAAAGAGATTTCTTCAACTCCATGAACGAATGAAATATAAACATAAGCCTTCGCATTTTTGGTTGGATACAATACCAATGAGATTTTCTACTAAATGACATTTATATAGTTTTTTTGTTCAAAGCAGTTTTGATCATTGACGTACCTCTGTTGTAGAACACCTGACTGCCACGCAGCAGCCTCGGTTCTATATGTACTCGTATTGGAGTTCGTTATCAATTACTTTATTGTCAGGTTGCTTTATTTCTTGTCACAGACAAGATGATGTTTTCTCGCTCACAACTGGAGACGCCGATATCGTAATTTAGGCGAAGCGATCTCTCTAACACAAGTGCGTTCAAATAATATACAATGCATAAATATTCCAAATATAAATACACGTGAACAGACAGTCGGTTATCTAACATTGTAGTTTGAGGGTATAATAGAGGCACACACTAAAGGCTAGTAGTAAACTCTAACAAAAGTACCAAACTAAATAGGGGGACAAGCAAAACAAGTTGCGATCGTGTTACTATAGCCAAGTTTTTAAGTTTGGCATTTCAAAGAAGATCATTTGCATTCTGTAGTTCGTTCTTAATTTGCGTGTAAACACAATAATGCTAAGAAGTTTTGATCTCATGCGGAAAGTGGATGCTAGCACCCGGTGTCCTTCCGCGCTTGTTCCCAGCAGTTTAAACTCATATATTGAAGCTAAAATGCGCACAACCAGGGTGCCAATCATCCTCCAGAAGGCAAGGTGCCACTCGAACGCTCAGTTCCTGGTTTGGAAGAGACGCCAGAAATAGAGCAGCATGATGAAAGGCACGCGACGAACAACGCTCTCGAGACATAGAGAGTTGCATCACAGTGACATTTGATCAATAGTTCACTTTTTCGCTGCCTTCAAAGCAGTAGATATTTTTGTTTCAATAGGTATTTTTCTTATTGCCCAACCCAATTGCGTACGAGTGGTCATCTTTCACAAGTGACCATGCTTTGTTACATGTGCTTTTTTCTTACAGTAGGTATTTTTTTGAACCACAACGTTATCATTTCACAACTTTGTAGAAGGTAACGGGGTGTGTCACATGGCAGTATTACCTCCTGTAGCACCAGTAACGCCCTGTGAGTGTACTGCACTCGTGGGTACGTTCGCAAAAAAAGGGATAAGTGACAACGTGCAAATAGTGCCTAGTATCTTTCGCAAGTACCCCTGGGGCAGCCATCGCCAAACCACACGAAAGACCACGCACTCAGATGGTGTGTTTTCAAGAAGGCTGCTTACATCACCCCTTACGTAGCCTTCCTTCAAGATTAAAAGCAATTGAGAAAGCTGTCTAGAGGTATATCCCGAACACTTCATGGTTTGTGACCCGTTTAGATTGTGCTTCAAAAGTTGGAGTCGTTGCCACTATATCCCTGGGTTATACCACTTATAATAGGAACATGATGGCTAGAGTAGTAATGTTTCTTATTGTTATGAGAATATTATTTCTTTTTATTTTTGCAAGGAAACCGATCAGGAGTAATCTGAAAATTTGGAAATATTAAAAAGGAGGTGAAGTTGCTCTAACATTTCCCACTCTGCTCTCAATTGATAGCCATCGCGAAGACTGGTCCGGTGAACAGTGTAAAGCATACTGTTTTTTCGAGGACGTCTTTTTTGTAAGTACTAGAAAAAACCAGTACTGTTTTTCTTAAGCATTTTTGTATTCAAGTAATTCAACTTCTTTGAGGCTTTTACAGACGTTTTTGGCCGTTTTTGTGTAGGCAAGACGGCTATAGTTAATATGGCAGCGGTACTGTTAAAAACGTACCCTAAAATCCTCATTCAACTATAATCCAGCGTACATTTAGGTTAAACAAAATGCAGACAGCTGAAATATAGGCAGAACAGCGATTATCAGTCAACTTGCAATGGGCAACGCATTCAGGCCAATTCATACAGGCGACTTGGTGCGTATCCAAGTAAACAGTCCAGAAATGTGACATGGGAATGTCGACTGGAAGCACGACGAATGGTAAAGTTTAATAATTGTAGAGGTAGAAAGCCACCACGAGGAACAGTGTGGGGGTGCTCTATGGTACGCCACCGCAGCAGACGATGCGCTGAGAGTAGCGCAAAATCACACTGTAGCGCTGCTAGTTGTCGTGGCCGCCGTCCGGCCCACCCTCCTACGCTAGCGGAGATACGCCGCTTTGTCTCTGAAGTTATTCTAGTAACATTGTTTCAATAGTAATCTACAGGCTAAGGAGAAAACATTCACCTGAATACAAAGAAGGTTTGTTTCGTAGATCTGCCATAAACAACAGCGCAATGCGCGAGAAGCCGGCACTCCGAATGTGAAGAATAAGAACAAGGGGTATTGCTTGTCCTTTTGTTTCTGTGGGCCTGCGTCTTGGTTAATGCGCTATTGTTGTATACGGATCCACAGCAACTAGTCCAGCATTTAAAATTCTGTAGGTCTCACTGGCATTCATTTTCTCAAGCTACCACCAGTGGTCGTCAGCAAGTTGATAGCACTTAAGGACGGTGCATATTTGAGAGTATCACCTTGGAAAAGTAGTGCAGGTTCTCGTTGATGGTCATGTACGGAAAGAGCATGCAAGACTGTGGCAGGAAACCGAGGCGACGGCGGGCCGCTTGAGGCGCCTGGCGCACACTGTGCGTAGACAAGAACACGTCCCCCGCAGATGGTGCCTCGAATCCAGCAATTATGTTGGCGAGGGTCGTCTTTCCGCATCCATTGGGGCCTAGCAGAGCTACAGCTTCACCTTCGTAGACACGCAGTCGAACGTTGCTCAGAATGACCCGGCGACCGAATATCTGCGTTAAATGATTATCGAAAAATCAGTACAGAGCAGAAGGGAAGTGTAAAGAGCAGGCTTGTGCTGTCGTGAAAGAGGCGTGTCTGTGGTCATGATGATAAAACACTGAATAATTTATTGTATTTTTCTGTTCTCCGAGCAGTAATACGTAAGGGTGACTAGGTAACTAACGCCCTCTTAAAAACCTACCAAATAATTAACAGCCCTTTAACAGAATAGCGTTAGAAACACCCTCATTCCTTTGTTATTGCACTAAAAATGACAACTGACGCACCCTTTGATACTGTTTGGTCCAGATTGCATTCTTTACGAGAAAACTGCACACAGTGACATCAAGCGTCCAGCACGTGATTGGTGGAGCGCACGCTGGTATCATCAAATAGGCAACGTTGCTATGAGTTGCCACTTCGGAGAATTTCCGGCACTGTCTCTACATCCTTGACGCTTTGGCATAGTTCAGGCGTTACCACTCGATCAGCCCGGAACTTTTTTGACAAGCAGTGTTCTCTTTTGCAAACAAAACTACTGGTCTGCATATAGCTTAATAGTAATTAAACACTCTGCAAAGAAGCGGGAACCAGCAGAAAATCAAAAGTCAAGCAGATCAAACGTGTTTTGGGAATTACTTTCATACGAAGCAGTCGGGCAGTACCAGGCTGTACCGAAGTGTTCACTCTTAGCAAAGCGTTACGAGGCATTCCAACGCTTCATGCAAATTTAGTAGAAGTGTGCGTGTTGTGAGGATATCACACAAGTCGAGTACACTGTCGTATAAAAGATCGCGTATAGTAAGACGCAACGTCAGCTCTCACGTTACGGAACATAAAGGATAACTTCATCGCCACCCCGTTGGCCGCCATGGAATTGGCGTTGTTCTGAGATGACGTATGTATATGCTATTCTTTCCAGAAACAGGCTGGAGACCTGGTGAAGATCTATGGTACAATACTTTGCTTCCATGCACAGGATTCCATTGTGCCTGGTGCCGGATATTTTGTTTTCGCTTCCATCAAGAGATTTAGCTTTTCTGCGAAATATCGCCGACCCAGCATTTTCTGTGACACCGACTCCTTCGCACCACTGCCCCATGCAGTGGTGCTGATACAAATTGTGAGGCATACTCGCACACAATGAACCATGGTGTACAGGTATGTGCTGCACGTACCATGTACCCCACGTGGCTGGTAGAATGTTTCGATGGCGTACCTGACAGGAATCCACGTTACTCAGACCATCACTTGCGAATAGTATTAGTCACGCCAGAGCCATTATGCCGTTTCAGTGTCATACGGAGATAGCGGCTGCCAGCAGACGTGCAGATGTCTATGGAAGGACATATGAACATCAATTACTGTCACTGCGGCTGTGCGTGGGACACGCGCGGTGTTCAAGCTTTCTAAACTGCTGCAACAGTCGCCTGATCAACCCCAGTTTGATTTTTATTTAGACGGATAGAGAGAAAAATAGATATAGAGACGGGTGTTCCAAATTTATTTGTAATCTGTAGGGCACAAGCAGAGCTATACAAATTTACCTCCCCCCCCCCCTTTCGTCGCAGTGGACACGCCGCTGAAGGCTATGCAAAAGGGCGGGAGAAGTAGTACAATGAAGCCTTTTGCTGCATCCGTACTTCAATTCCTATTGTCACTTTAAGCACTTACCCCTTTTCTATGAGTTTTTTTTCTTGAAATAAGCAGCTTCCTCTCAGCGTGATAACGTCCACGCTGTTATAATGCTTTGGTGGGTTATTCCTGCATTATCAAGCGTTGCTGGGGTAGATTGGGGCAGCCCGTGGCAGTCGCAACAACTACGTAGCTTGCGATGCACACATGAGCGAGTGACAGCCTTAGTTAAAATTGACTCTCCATCCCAAAAGTGACTAAGAGTGCGCTTCTGAACAGACACCCAATGAGTGACCTTTAGCGGACTTCAAATTAAACTACGAGTTTTCTGCACCGTTAGCATGATTGCGGGAGGTAAGGGATTAGCATTACTGAGCTTCAAATGTTTGTTGCGAACAAAGCCTTACTGTTTAGCGGGATAGAATTTACATGGTTTATGTGCCCCGGCTGCAACGGTGGTGACACGTAGCCAATGGCGGATAAAAATGAAGATCAGTGATAGGAAAAAGAAAACTGGTATGACTGCCCGTGTTATCTCGCCAAGCAAAGTTGGCAGTTTCATTAGTAATAATAAAGGTAAATAAATATCAAGCACGTATCAAACTCAAAATAATATACATTGCCAATATTATTACATCGATCTCCTAGTTATGCCTAGAAACGTTCAAAATGGGAAGCTATCTGAAAAAAATCGCAAGATCCTACACACTGTGTAAATCGATGATATGCGAAGCACGTACAAGGAAGGTTTTGCTTTCACTTTATAATGAGCAAAACGTTGCGAGGTGAACGAAAATACGCTGTACATGGCTTCCATGCCATGATTATCATGTTTGGATGTGTCATTTACTTTCGTCGTCTGTTCACGTCACGCAATACCAAATTTAGTATATGTGGAGCTAGCGAAACGGCCACGGGAACGCTATGAGTGTAGCAATTATAAATGTTTCACATGACACGAATGTCAAGATTATGATGCTTGGACAAGTCATTTGTCTTTGTGGTGCATTCACGTCCCGTAATACTAAATTTGGTATATGTGAAGCTAGCGAAGTGGCCGCTAGCACACTATAAGCGTAGCATGTAATCATGTTTCACATGACACGCATATCAAGATTATCATGTTTGGACGTCTCATTTACTTTTGTCGTCCACGCACGTCACGTCATACCAACTTTCGCATATGTGGAGCTAGCGAAACGGCCGTGAGCACGCTATAGGCATAGCATGTAATCATGTTTCACATGACACACTAATCATGATTGTCAAGTACAGATGTGTATCATTTACTTTCATCGTGCATTAACGTCACGTAATACCAAATTGTGTAAATATGGAGTTAGCGAATCGGCCACGAGCACGCTATAGACGTAGTATGTAATCATGTTTCACATGACAAGAATATGAAGGCTATCATGTTTGGACGTGTCATTTACCTTCGTCGTCCATTCACGCCACGTAATGCCTAATTTGGTGTATGCGGAGGTAACAAAACAGCCGCGAGAGCGCTATGAGCTTAGCATGAAGTCATGTCTTGCATAACACACATATCATGATTTTCATCAGGTTTCGACGTGTCATTTACCTTTGTCGTCTACGCACGCCATGTAATACCAAACTTGATGTTTTGATGCAAGTAGAGCTAGCAAAACCACCGCGAGCACGCTGTTAGCCTATCACGTAACCATGTGTCACATGACACGCATATTATAATTATCATGTTTATACGTGTCATTTACATTCGTCGTCTCTTTACGTCACGTGATACCAAATTTAGTATATCTGGAGCTGGCGAAATGGCTGCAAGCGTACTATGAGCGTAGTATGTTCTCATGTTTTTCTGACACGCATTTCATTTCATTTCATTTTATTTCCTTAAAGACACGCGAGGGGGTATTACATAAGGGGTGGGTAATTATAAACACAAAACATAGAAGTCAAAGATTTAACATAAAAAGTGATTATTGATATTTTCTATGAACGACAATGGGCAGAGAATGGTTGCAATTTCACTGGGAAGGCTGTTCTAGTCTGGTGCGGTACGTGGGAAAAACGAGGCAGAAAAAGTAGAAGTCCGGGAGCGTGGCCGAGCAACTTGAAGCAAATGGCTCGTGCGGTGAGATATGCGTGTTGCAGGAATGATATAAGGTGGGGCATGCAAGGGACTATGAAAAAGTTTGTGAAACAATGACAGGCTGGCTATACGACGGCGAAGCTCTAGATCTGGTAAACCGGACTCTGCTTTCAATCCAGATACACTGACAGTTGAAGAGTATGAACAGTGAATAAATCTAGCGGCCCGGTTTTGAAGCGGTTCAATGGCATGTGTAAGGTGAGATTGTTGAGGGTCCCAAATTGGCGTTGCGTATTCTAGTTTAGGTCAAACGATGGATTTGTATGCTTGTAATTTTACGTGTTGTGGAGCGAGGCGTAAATGGCGTTTAAGGAAACCCAGTGTTTTATTTGCAGATGAAATGATACTAGTGATGTGTATGTTTCATGAAAGATCACTACAAAGAGTGACGCCCAAATACTTGAATGACGGAACATTTTCTAGCGGGATGGCATTAACTGCGTACGGATACACAAGCGGCATGTGGTGGCGATGGAATGAAACGACTTTACATTTACTCGGGTTAAGTTCCATGCGCAAGCGCTCACACCATTCCTGGAGGCAGTTTAGGTTGGCTAGTAAGGATGACTGTTTTGAAGTGTCAGTAACAGTGTCATATACAACGCAGTCATCAGCAAACAGGCAGGTTTTATAGGTTAGGTTTGAAGGCAAGTCATTTATGTATATAAGGAATAAAAGGGGACCAAGAACTGAAGCCTGGGGTACTCCGGACGCGTGTCATGATTTTCATGTTTTTACGTATATACCTTCGCTGTCCATTCATGCCACGTAATACCAAATTAGGTATATGTGAAGCCAGTGAAACGACCGCGAGCGCACCATGAGCGTGGCGTGTAGCCATGATTTGCATAACAGAAAAATTATGACGTTGACATCGGGATTTCCACGTTAGGATCCGTCACATAAGTTTGCTATGCAGTCATGTTATACCATACAAGCTTTGAAAAGTGTCATGTGAACGAAACCAGCGCAAGAGAAACAAGACCATGAAATGTAAATCACGACGTTCATGACATCAATATCATGATTTTTTATGCTATGACTAGCCAGTTACGTTCGCAATATTGCCTTGTTATGCCATACCAATTTTGGTACCAATATCATTATCGAGACAGCCAGGAGGACTTAAAGTCGTAGGCGGATATATATATATATATATATATATATATATATATATATATATATATATATATATATATATATATATATATATATGAGTTTATCGGCAATACTCGATTTTCGAAGCTAAAGGCAAGCAAAGTAATAGTAATTTTTTTTAAACAGTCGTTTGCTGAGATAGAAGTGAGTCTTCCAACATCTACGCCAAATCACTTCACAACGAGCATCTGAAACTCCCGCCATGTTTCACGTACACTACGTAAACCACGCTAACACGGTAACGTTGGATCTCATAATTAGCATGGGTACGGCGAGTGGTAAGAGTCACGTATGTGACTGCGCATGCGTACTTCGATCCCGCTATCCTAGTAAACCCGCTATACCGCTAAGCCCGGTAAGCTACACCTATCTATTGTCTCGCTGACGCGTTGGCAAGGTGCTCCACTACCAGGCGGAAGCATTATCTGGTTATTTTCACGATGCGTTTTAACCCTGCCCTAAGTATCCTAATGCACAGCACATGTGTCGTTCACGTCGTGACCCGTTTAGCAACTGTTTACAATGTTGAGCGAATAAATGTTTCAGGCATATCAGGTTAGATGAATATACACACCATATATTTTTGAAGGCCAATTACCTTGCTCACGTTATCCACGTAAATTCCCGGAGGCTCGGCCAGTCGGTGCTCGCTGGGTTCGAACATATCGTGCTCAGGATCAGCAACCAACCACGGTGTTCGTCGCTTTGATGCCTGCACACAGAGCAATACCTTCTTAGATATATGTCACCTTATAACTACCAGGCAGGGCAAAAACAGTGACAGGCAGGGACGTAGAAATATGTTTTTCTTTTTTTGAGGGAGGGGGGTGAGGTAGGGGCAGCACTTTGATTTGAAGGGCGGCCTGGTGCGCAGATGTGGTCAATGATCATTTTGTGCGCTCTGTTCGATGACGATGAACTTCGGGGGGCGAGGGGTACGTGGGCCCACTTTTCCTCACTCTTGCGACAGGTTTATGTGATCCCTGTCCAGTAGCGGAAGTATATGCACTCACGTGGATATCATTTAACAAAGATCATTCAGATTACACCTTAGGCTACGGAGTCCTCAACAGGAAGACAAGGCGTACTCACAATAAAAATACAAATATAACGACAAAGTGCGAGCGTGTTCTGGAAAATATTGTATAAAAATAAACTTCGAAGGAGGCATAATTTTGTCTGATATTGCAAAAATAGACAAATGTATTTGATTTTTTTTTTGTAAACGCAGATGTGTTACTACTGAGTACTCGCCAAGACACACGATTATCCAATTCAGAACATGGCGGAGCGTGACGAGGGGCTGTTAAATGCTGCTGAACTAGAATATGACTACGTTCTCGGCTATATCTTGCCGCGAGAGCCCGGTGTCAACACGCTTATCAAACAGAGTGATTTACGTAAGCACACTCCAAACGACATGTGCGTATCCTTTTGTGAGAGACACGATCACGCGCAGGTTTCGCCTTTAGCGGGGGTGAAGGTTTGTCACAGCACCCCCTCCCAATTAAAGCAATGTATGAGGGGGACGGTGTGTCCCCCCCCCCTCCATAGATTTCTAAAACGATAGGGGTGGCCGCCCCTCACACGCTATCCCTGTGCACGCCTATGGTGAAAGGCATTCTGCTTGTGAGGTAAAATTTCGCAGTACACACCCATACCGTAGTATATACACTTCTCGCATATACACTTGGCTTGCCAGCTTGGCTGGCGTATTACAGCGGCTGTTCTTCGCAAGCAAAGTTTAGCCAAATACGCCAAAAGAGAAGTTTATATTGTAGCAAAAGTGCAATTTGGCCTAGTTAGAACGTAGTCATCTTAAAATTGTTGCGCAGGCACACGAGGATGCAGAAGAGACACACAAACGGGTGCAATTTAACGACTGGTCAATTCTTAAAAACGTTCGCTTAATAATCCTCCAATCTGCGCAATCTGGTAACAAAAATTTGGCAGCTTCCACGTGCAGTGGGAACAGATGATATGCGAAGTAACGTCTATGCAAAGCATGAACGAGGATGGTTGATAGTCACTTTGAAAACAGCACAGCGTTATGAGGCAGACGTAAAAGATGTCGTATATGACTTCCATATGATGATTACGATGTTTCCACCTGACATTTGTGGTAATCGTTCATTCACGTCACGTAATACCAAATTTGGTTTATGTGGAGCTAGCGAAAGGACTGCGAGCACGCTATGAGCATAGCTTGTAGTTATGATTTCCATGACACGAATGCTTTGAGACGTTTCATTTACCTTCATCGTACAGTCATGTCACGTAAAACCTAATTTGGTATATGTGATGTCAGCGAAACAGCAGCGAGCACGCTATAAACGTAGTATGTAGCCGTGTTTTACATAAGACGCACATCATGATTTTTATGTTTGGGCAAGGCATTTACATTTGTCGTCCATTCACATCAGGTTATAACAAGTTTGGTCGATTTGAAGCCAGCGAAACGGCCGCGAGAAAATTATTTATGAGCGTGGAATGTAGTCATCTTACATTACATACATGTTACAATTTTCACGTTAGCGTTCTTTCTTTTATGTTCGCCATGCAGTCCTGTCATACCGGCTTTGCAATATGTCATATGAAGAAACCACTGCAAGAACAGAAACACCATAAAATGTAATTCATGACATTCATGACATGGATGTCATGATTTTTATGTTATGACTAGTCACCAATGCTCGTAATACCAACCTCGGTATAGATACTATTATCGATGCAGCCAGGAGAGCTACAAGCTTCAGGCAAATAGAGAGATAGACAGATAAAAAAATAACAAAATGTACCATCGCTTTGTTCTAACACGTGATGCTGCCTTCTTAGCAAAACTCAAATTGTACCGCAACAAACTAAACGCTGACCTAAAGAAAGCAAACGTTTCCTACTATGAATCTCTGCTTGCTAGGCTATACAATAATCAGAGAATGCTACGGCAGGAATGAAAGAACTGATCAAACAGGTGCAAAGTAAAATATATAACTAACATTGCAGCTTTTGCTCAAGACAAGACGGATGTAGAAGGCTTAACAAAAATGAACGAGTTTTTTTTTCTAATGTGGGCGATTGGGCACCCAGTCCTACTATCCACTGCTATCTTATTCATTAAACACAATATGCTAACAGCTTCCAAGTTAAACAAGCATAAACTCTACTTTTAATAAGCATAAAAATGGTAGCATATATCCACGGAGTGAATATTGAAGAGTAGGGCGAAGCTTCCGTCCGTCCATGCGTCCGTCTGTGTGACCGTCCGTGCGCCTATTGGTCCGTCCGTGCATGCATCTGTTCGTCCGTCCGCACGTCCATCTGTGCGTCCGTCCTTGCGTTCGTCCATGCATCCGTCCCTGCGTCCGTTCATGCGTCCATCCGTCGGTGCAGCCATCGGTGAGCCCGTCCATGCATCTGTCTGTGTGTTCGTTCGTCCACCTATTCTACACTCCAAGTACCACCATCTCGCATCTTTTCATCATATATTCCTCATATAGAAGCACGACCATCTAGCGGACATTCCGAGGACTAAATGAGAGGTGGAACACGCACACATTCTTACGGCTTGCGCTTCGTGTCTATACTTCCCACCTTTAACTACCTCAAGTTCATGGTATATACTTCTTCACTGAATTCATGGCACTGCGGCCCAACGCTCGCTAAGCCTTTCTAAAAGCAAGGAGGTTACGCCCAGCGAGTATAACGTAGCGACCCCTTTTTGTCAGATAGTGCTCAATGTACATGCCAAAGGCCGCTAAGGGGGAATGAGAGACAGGAAAATTTTGCTTTTATTTAACGCACACCCTGCAAATTTTTATTGTTCAAAAATGCACAGAAGTAATCTCTCACCGGCACCACATTAGAGGTCAAAATGTAAAACTGGTTACACACTACGATTACTACTACGACTACGAGGGACGAATGGGTGCCGCTATAAGGAGCTGCGCCCCTAAAACAAGCTTCGAAAACATGAAGAACACACTTGTCACAACAGCATACGTAACACACAAACATTGGTACCCCATAGACGAACAAACTAAGATAGAACTGGATGGAACTGGAACAATGTGCCTGTGGTACGCCACAGTGGTTACACTAACCCGCTGGCGTCGACTTGTTCAGCACAAGCAAATTTGATTACCCTCTCCCTCCGGTTCCTGAACAAGAAGTCATGAATTTTATTCTTAAAATGAACAATAATTTCACTGCTGGCCTGGATGGCTTTATCGCCGTCCCTATCAAACACATGGCTTCTATCATATCGCTTACGTCAACATATGTAATAAATAAAATGCTTGAAACAGGTACATTGCCCTATGATCTTAATGTGGCACGTGTAATCCACGTACACAAAGGTAGAACTGTTAGTTAAATAGCAAACTACCGGCAGATTTGCGTGCAGCCCATCCTGCCGAAAGTATTCGAGAATGTCATCAATGCGTGGCTCGTAAACTTTCTAACTAAATACCACTTAGTAAGCGATTCACAGTATGGCGTCCAGAAAGAGTACGTAAATGGCGTTATTGCGAAATAAAAACGAAATGCTAACAACATAGAAAACAAACTTTTTAGTGTTAGCTTATTTATCGATTTAGGAAAAGCATTTTGTTGTGTGAAATATGATATTCTACCTTCGAAACGGCATGGCTATGGCGTTCGGGCTTTTACTTTCCTTTGGCCTTTGAACTCGTAAATGTTATCTCTGCAACCGGAAGCATTGTGTGAAGTTCAGTGAACTAGCGCCGCCAACTACTACGTATTCTAAAATACGGGGTTTCCAAGGCTCCGTTCTGGGATCTTTGTTTTTCATAGTTTACATGAATGATTTATGTGATGTGCCCCACTCACCAAAGCTAGTCAACACCAACATATTCTTTTCTGCACCAACTTTAAGTAACAAACACTTCATTCAAGAATTATTTATACTTGAACAATGACTGGACGCCAACAGATTAAGTTCATATACTAAGGAAACCTGATATATTAGATTCATACCACGCAAAAAAATGTAACTGTGAACTCACATTTAACTTTAAACGAAGGGTCCTTCAGTTCTTTTGATCAGAAAAGTTTCTATGTGTTTTGTTCAACGACACCATATAGTATAACACGCATGTCAAGAAGCAAAGAATTGAATTAGGCAAAATGTTGGATGCCTCAGCAAACTTAGAGAATTAATTACACTAGGCCTGAAAAGTGCGATATATTATGCCAACTTTTACTCATGTCTTACATAACGTACCTTAGTCTCGGATACAACTACTACCACCAACTTTAATAAACTAGAATTGCTGCAAAAGAAGATGTCGAGAATGTTTAAAAATTTACTGGGCATCCAGGCCTACTACCCACTGCTATCTTATTCATTAAACTCAATATGCTAAAAGCTTCCAAGTTACACAATTTACACATAAAAACAAGCTTTCAAAACATGGAGAATACACCCGTCATAACAGCATAGAGAACATGAAAACACTAGTACCCCTTACACGTACAAACTACGAGAGAACTAGGCTAGAGTAATAAAGAGTAGACATGCCAACTCTTCACTGTTCCTTAAAAACCCATAGTGCTTTCAGTGCCCTTTCAATGTGTTCAAAGCAGATGTGCGTGATAGCGGGATGAAGACATAAGTTTTTTCATGTTGTGTGCATCATTTTGTACCAGTGTTCCCACGTTCCTTTCATGTGGCTTTTAGATTTTCTTCGCATT